GCAAAACATTCCATTTCACTAACTCGATAAACCGGACGCTGACGAAATTTCTAGATTACAATTAGATTTCCTGAAATTGAATTTGTTGAATATAACTTAACACACGAATGAGCAAAATGCTTTTATAAATCTTCTATCGTAATTAACTCCACTCACGAAGAAATCAATAACTTCAAGATTTTGATAATTCATTCAAAATCTACTTCTGTAAAATCAAGATGTTAGCATGAATTCCTTAAGTTTAAACAACAATTCACAATGCGGTAAGGTAATCATGGAAAAATCTATTCATTTATTGTTCGGAGTGGTATACATTGTTTTGACGATTCAATTTAAATACGTATACAATGCTCTAGCTTTCCCTTCCAAAATATGTTTTCCAAAACTTCAATCAGACGAATAGCTTTTGTTGTCTTCGTGGGCCATAAAATTTGACGATTTCCTGTCTCCAAAATAAAGCCGCAATTAAAAATAAGGCATTCCCTCTCATACACAGAACGTTCTGCTTAAGGATCTGTGAGCGACAATAAAGCTACAACTGTATTAAATGTATAACATGTGCAAAATCTCCCGTAGTTTAAATGATTTCCTGGTCCGATAAACGGTCTTACGTCATACCTCATCGAGGTACTATTATCCCATCCAATTTTGATTGCTATTACTTTGTAATTAGTGGTTAACAGAAGAATTCTTGATTATCACATTTCATTTTTCCCATTATTTGCATCAACGTTTTACGAAATGGAAAGAATTTGCTGCAAAATGGGGTTTCATGGGGTCCCAAAATTTATCCAAGAATTTCTGTTGAAGGTTAAAGAACACACCCTTGTTACATTAAGGCCATTTAGTAGAAATATGTACAGTCGACAAAATGTCACTATAATTATAACTTCTCCATTTTTAATAGAATGTTGAATGAAAGTGTAATAGATAAATTAATTAATATTTTAAAATTCTTAATTAGAAATAGGTATTTGGATATTTTGAAGGGGGTGTGCGATAGACTTACTTCCACGTGGTGCACCCTGGGCAACGTATTCTCATACGGCAAAAAGGTCTATTAACCGGCAATTGACTTCCGACTTTAAATTACCATGACCTGACTCCATGTCATATTCGATCATTTCCACAGTACTCACTTCGCCTTTTCTCTACCTTTGTGTCTGTCTCTTTTACATATTCGATACACTCTCCTGTTCCTTCCTCCCCCTCTCGACTTTCTTTCACTTTGATGTTCCTTCCACCCTATGAAGCCTGAAGTCAATTAAAGGGCTAATGATAACTATCAAAATGCCTGCCATTTGATATAATTCAAAATGCCTGCCATTTGATATAAATAAATAAATAAATATTTTGAGGCTACTTCAAAATTTAGTGTGCTATGTCTTGCTAGGTTATGCGACGAATTCTGCTCTTAAAATCAAATCTAAACTCCCCTTTTTTACCGGTACCGAGTTACACACATATATTTTGATATTTTGGAGATTTATTTAAGGTGGTGATACTATATTACTGCTCTATGCTTAGCTTAATGTTTTTTACAAGGTGTATTGTAGTTGCTAAGATTATTAATCTTCTCATCATCATCATCTTTTCCTCTTCATGTGCTTTAGCTTTAACAAAGGGGAAGAATATGCGATTGTTAATACCTCTGCTGTGGATAGTCTTTTCTGTGGCACTTGCCTTGATTGCCTTTGGCACCGTCGTGTGTGTGGATTGGAGTAATTGGTGCGATCAAACTCCTCGAGAACTGAATCGAACGCACTGGCAGTCATCTACGCCTCTTCTACTTGCCTCTTCGGAAATCGAGTTTGTCTGATATTCTCCTTCCTTCTTATAGTCCTTCCAGTTTATCGCTCCAAACTTGTTCTTATGTGGCTCTTTAACTCTAATTTCTGTTATACGTAGTGTGAAGTTTCTTAAAAACTCTCAGTAATTTTATTCTACTCTTCTTCCAATATAAGACCTATTATTTAAGTCAAAGCTCAACCACAAATTTTAGAATTGATATTTTTTAAACTTTTATAGTTTAAAATAAGTTGGAGGGTTTAATTTTAACGCCATTATAATAACTTAATCAAGCTCAAATCGGTCACTACGAATGACTCATTTGTAAGATAGTCATGATCAATGCGAGTTTAGGTAGATTTCTTAAATAAAAGTTATTCCAACGCATTTTAACATCATTCGGTATTATTATAACAATAAAATCAACACTTTTGGAAGGCAAATAATAATCTCACTAGATAGCAATGTATTAATAGTAGTACTTTAGGGAGAGAATTGGAAATCCAAATATTGCTTTAAAGATGTAATTACACTCGAATACAAATTTCATGGTTACCAATAAAGTAATTGGTATCGCTTTGTCAGGCTCACTTCAAAATAGAAATCAGAACTTGCTCCAGTCCCTGAGCACTCTGAATGCTACGGAATTTCGTATGCAGTACAACCTCTTAGTCCTCTTCATATATCCTGAAACCTCAAATGTTGGATTTTCATCTTTTTTTAGAGCAATCAAGAATACTACATTTAGTAAAACCTAGAAATACCTTATTAGCGTCTGTGGGCTTTTATTTAATAACAAATAATCCTGATAAACTGAGATATTACAAATGGCACTTTTGGCTTTTAATTGTGAGACTCAGTGCTCCTGATATTGTGTAATGACAATGTTGTAACATAATTTTTATAGTCTTTTAAAACATGCTGTAGAGAATACTTTATTTAAATTCGATGAAAAAATGTGATAATAACGTTTACAGCCCCTCTATAATTAACAGCATTAGACTGACTAATTTTAGCTATTATTAAATAGAAATTACAGCAGAATGTAAATAAATAAGGAAAATATCACTAGATTCTCTTAGGCAAGGAAGAAAAAAAATAAAATTTTGTTATAAAATATATTTTTTTATAGTGGGTAAATATGCTTTAAAACACCTATCGTCTTATATAAGACAAAGTGCCAATGGCATTCCCTAAATACCACAATAGACTTAACAAATACAATAAGTAAATGATATTATCTAATTTTATGCACAAAATTAAATACGCTTAAGTAAATTAAAGCTATATCGTTTAAGGAAATTCAAAAACAGGTATGTGAGACATATAAAATGACGAATTCCGTAGGCCAGTTAAATATTCCCAAAATATCGAGTATTTCATTAAAGTCTGCCTTAATATTAAATTTAGAAATTCAATATTATCAAACCTCACATCTTACTTCAATCCCTTTCCTTTTAACGATATATTATTTCATTTCAAATGGCAGGCGTTTTGATAGCTATCATTAGCCCTGGAGCTGACCTCGGGCTTCACAGAGGGAAGGTTCATCAAATTAGAAGAAAGTGGAGGGGTGGGGAACAGAAGAGCGATTCACAGATGTAGAAGAGACAGACAGACACAAAGGCATTAAAAAGGTAGGATGAGTACTGTGGAAGGGTTCGAATATGACATGCAGTCGGGTCATAGTAGCTTGAAGTCAGAAGTCAACTGCCAGTCAATAGACTTTTTGCCGTATGAGTATACGTTGCCCAGGGTGCACCACGTGGAGGTGAGTCTATCGCACACCCCTCTTTTTACGATATATTTTTAGCATAATGAGTATGATTCTTAATAGCAAAATAAACTTTCTAATGTAATTAAGGTTTGCAAATTTATTTTTATAAAATGAAGCAGGAGGTTGGGGTATTTATTATATAAATATCTGCTGCAGACTAGCAAAGATACAAAGATCATCTAAAACACGATGAGTAATTTCAATTTGACTTTTACACTTGGTTAAGTAAACTTGTAGGTTAATTGTCACGGATATTTTTTTGGCGTTCCGCCCAACAGCAAGGCGAATTCAATTCTGTAATTATCTTCATGAAACGGTGAAGCATTTTAGTAGTTGTAAAGTTCCTTATTTCGTGGTGCAGTCGTATTAACTTGGAACCCGCATGAAATATCTACATATTTTTGAATTTTCAGATTGTGAGATGATTTCAGTATTTAAAGAATGAATTCACTGCTATAAGAAAAGGATGTAACTTTTTCTGGCCGTGTGTTAAACGTTGCGTTTGCTTAAATACAAGTTGGAATCTCGAATATTGACAGTAACGAATTCGAGACTGTTGGTGTAATCAAAACTATTTCGATTTCAGACCTTGCAAAAGTGAACCAAGTAGATACTCTTATTTAATGAGATGAAGAGTATATTTTTTCGGAATAGCGAGGTGCATCATTCTTCTAAAGCTGTCCTATTAGAGCCACAAAGTTGCGGCAGATCTATACCTCTGATTTCTCTAGTACCGTAGTACTTCATCTACCAGTTCCTTGTGATTTCTAGAACTTAAAATATAATAGAAAGTGGCTCAAAAGATCATTATATTGGCGGATGGCACGGGCCAGTGCAATTTCATAATTGTAATCATTCTTAAAAAAATAATAATTTTTAAATTTGAGATCTTTTGCCTTCAGAAGATGGTGAAGGACATTTCTAATACTAGGGAAGTGAATCTTATTCGAATTATGAAGGGAAAACTAAACTTCTTAGAATGCAATTAAATATTTTACTCTATACCAACAATATTTTATTTTATTGAATAAAATATAGCAGTTTCATTTATTTACTTGATGAAAATATAAATTTAAGCCTGATTCAGTGCAGCATAATCCCTTAAAATACATGTGAATCTATGTAGTACCTTTCATTCTTTTAAATTTTAAATATTATATTCCGTTTTCTTATTTTAGATTGAAAATATTTATTTCGAATTTTAAGCAGTTGGAGGCAGGTCGTTGAAAATATATTTCAGTTGTTTGAAATTCAGTGTTTAAATAGTTAGTTTATTATTATTTTTAATATGAAAAGCCTTTTAAATATCATCATAAAAAACTTTTAGTAACTGAGAGCAAATATCTGGAAAATAAGCCCTAATTATTCGATTTCTATCAGTGTGATATGGTAATAAAGTGAGAGTAATAAACATGGATAATAGGCCAATGAGAATTCATCCACGACCGTAATTGGCACCTCCCGCTTTTCGCATTGCCTCTTCGATAGCTGACTGAGTAAAGTCGGAAGCGTCACTGAACGTGAGATCAACAGCTACATTCTAAAGAGTTAAAAAATATATTTCAAGAATTGTGAACTACTTATTTAGATGTAAGTACGGTCTTTTACCTGGATGCACTCACGAATTTTTGGTTTCTCCTGCATAATAAGGCCTTTTTTAAGAGGACCACAATTATTCCCGATCCAGGTAACTAAAGCGAATTTTGTACGTTTGCTCAGCTCATCCCCGACAATTAGTCGAATAAAGAAGTACGCTCTAATCGATTCATCCAAAAGTTCTTTAATATCGTCGAAATTTTCGCCCGAGGATGTCACTTGAAGCTTCTTGTCCAACTCCGAAACGCACATCCTATAAATTAATACTAAATTTCAGAAGGGTATTTCCTTCAAAGCTGTTATTACCCTATTTCAATCTTAGTCTCGTTAATTTTGCCATACAACTTTATCTTCAAATTCATTTCGAGAAAACCTATAACTGGTCCACAATTGAGAGCATCGGTGTCATTTCTGCAAATTTTCTTCCCATTTCTTTATAATTTACATTTTTTATCCGATTTAAGTGACACACTGATATTGCATTGTAAAACGTTTCAATAACTCTGAAGTACCTGCATTACCATTATTACCCACATTCCATATTGGCAAATCTTATTGAAACCCTTTTTTAGCTATGAAAGCTCATTCATCAGAATATAGAATGGAAGATAAATTTGGCTTCTTGTGCTAAATAAATGTCCTCATATTGCTTTAACTAAAATACCCTAAGCTTGTCTTTACGGAGAAAAATTCAAAGAAAGTAAAATAAAGGTTTAATAGTATAATTTCATTTCTACGTTTGCTACTGATTAGATTCGGAAGAAATTGTAACGTACCTGTCAAGTTATTTGATTATTGAAATCGAATGTCAAGATATTGTCAGTTCTTTATAGCAATATTCAAAATAGTACAAATTACCCTTCAAGTAATTAAAAGTGGTCATTAATAGAGAACAGCTTAATACCAAAGCCAAACTAGAGCAGTGCCCACTTAGCTTCAAGCATCCTTCAGCAAATTGAAATGTTGGGAATGATATTTCAGCATTTTGGGGTGCGCAATAGACTTACCTCCACGTGGTGCACCCTGGGCAATGTATATTCATACGGCAAACAAGTCTATTAACTGGCAGTTGACTTCTCACTTCAAACTACTATCACCTCACTCTATGCCATATTCGACTATTTTCACAGTTCTCACCTCACCTTTTCTCTGCCTTTGTGTTTGTCTCTTACATCTTTGTAACATTCTTCCCACCTGTGAAGCCTGAGGTCGGCTAAAGAGCTAATGATAACCATCAAGATGCATTTTCAATTTTGCATGCTTAAATAACAAACAAGTGATCCGAGTTGTCTGCCAGCATGCTATAGAATGAAAATAAACGTCTGTTTGAAGAAATCAATTGTTTGCTCTCTTTGATATATGAAGTTAATTAATAAATCGTTCATGATGAAGAATTTCTTCGAAATACATTGTCGAAAAATCCAGCATTAGGTATGCGTCAAGTGACTATGTGTTGATATCTCGATGATTCTCACATTCTTCCTTTAATATGTCAGATATTCATTTATTAGACTTTCTTCTCCTCATTTAATTTTCGAAAATCGCCTGTTGCAGCTTTGTCATACCTCTATACAATTTAGCTTAACCTACTTTACTTTCTGGTAGGCGCAAATGTACTTTTATGCCAGAATTAAGGCTCATTAGAACTCTGTTTGTGAATTAGTACCTATATATTGGTAAAAAATATTTTTTTTCTTCTAATATAACATGATCATCAGTGTAACAAATATTATTTGTGTGAAGGTTACTTAATTAACCACGGGGTCATACTGTCTCTAACTGCTCAGACACAAAAGTTCAATAGAAAAAATCTGTAGCACCAAAAATTGCATATCCTAGAGAAGGTTGATTGAGCATTTTCAGTTAACTAGAAAGAATCTCTCAAGTTTCCTATCATATGAACTTAAATAACAATAATGGGGTTACTGTGCACATCGCTTTATATTAATAACGACAAAGAAACGCATTTTAAGGGAGATTATTGGCAACCTAGTCGGCAGCCCTTTCATCAAGTTCCCTACCCCTATTTTTCCTAGTCTTAAAGAAATTTTGTCGATCCACCGTACATGAGAGGCCTTATTAATTAAAAAATAAGTAAACATCTTTTTAAGCTAATTTCGAACCATTACTTATGATGAATTTGGGTAAATTCTATAGTTAAAATAAATTGGCACTTATATTTACCAAGTTATTGCTTCATTATCGTTCCGTACTGCTTCGTAGACCCTGTTGATTTCTTCTTTATCCAAAGTGAGACTGGCCATTTTCTGTGAAACATTGAAAAATTTTAAATGAAAGCAATCTTATCATTCAATTTTGGAAGAGTTTTAAGATTATGGCTGGCTACACTTGGCCCTTTACGATGCCGAGTAGTCAATACCTATCTATACTTGTAGCTTTTAGTTAAAAATAGAAGCTCTTAAAAATATACTTAACTTTAAAGTTATAAGTATCAAGAATGGTTCCAGTGCTATTGCATTTTTGCATTTTTAACTGCACGAAAGAATCGCAAATCTAAATGAAATAGGCCATTTCTATAGTCACTCCACAAATTTCGACCTTTAATCAAGTTGTCTTAAAAAAATATATACATACATGTTGCTACACTCTCTAAAATTTGGAATTAGTTTATTTAATTAAATGTGACAACAGGCAGTTGGAGTAGTTTAATTAAACAGTTTACTTGGAAAAGCCTCAGTGCAGAGTGAACCACGTGTGACATATTAACTGTTTAAGAAGTTCATCATTTGCTCTCTGCCTGTTAAATTCTTCTTTTTTTTCTAACTGTCACTAAGTGTAATGAGACAAGACTTCTTAGAATTCCCTATTGTATTATCACTTGGAGTGGACCAGAGTGCGGTAGTTCTACTATCCACGTGATTATTTTCTCAACTTTTCTCAGAAAGTTCAATGCAGTTGGAGTATGGATTAGCTTAAATTGAATATTAATATAAGTATACTTTAAGCATATTCAAAGCATAAATATAAAACTTTGGGTAGAATGTAATAAGTTTAGAGTCAAAATGGATCATCCGTGGATTTTGGAAAAGGTATATTGTCACGCTTCATCTAAGACAGTGTCTTGATTACAATAATGTCGATTATCTGCAGTCGTAGAATTAGGTAGAATTGCTTCTAGTGACCACTTTTACTATTTTATTTTTGTATCCAATGCCTAAGTTCAATATATTGGCTGTTGAACTACAACTCAAGCTTTCATAATGACCACGAGCCATTCTTCCGCATCTATGTATAATGATAGAATTTTGAATTTCCCGAAACTCTCTTTGAGCCTATTTCACTTAACAACATAGTAAATAATTAACAACATATATTGCAGCAAAATGAAATTATGTTCAAAAAAATTGCCTTCAAGCCTTTAAAGATGGAACAAAGATATTATGGTTTTTTTAAAAACAATTTCAACTAACTATTAAGTGGAGTCCTATTATAATTATAAATAAGTTAAAAATTATATCTAGTATTTATTTAAAAAGCAATGTTCGATGGCAAAAAGTAATGTAAGGCATAAAAATGTGTATTATTGTTTATCAGAGAATTTATGCGTAACTTTGGTAAATAGAGTTTCTAACTTACCTAAATTTGGTAAGAGATGCTTTAAACTAAATTCATTTGCCTCGACTTGGCTATGCGAAAGTACAGTAAAAGTAAATATTCTGAAATTAAGTGATCTCATAGGTTAATTATCTGTGCACACTTGTAACGTCATTGCGAGCCCAGCCAATCAGATCGGAGCTAAACCAGTTTGCTTAACTCTAAATTGATGATAAAGTCACATATCATGATTAATGCTATTTTACCTTTGCTAAGATGAGCATTTAACTTACTGAAATGCACAATTTTAAGTGCCTTGAGAGTTATTTCAATTGACTCTCTTACGCACAACTTCCTAGAAGAAATTGTTTCACGTAACAGCTATGTCGTGTAGTGAAAATGAAATTAACTTTATGCGAAAGGTTATCAAATTTCTAATAGACTCCATGTTTACACTTTACACGATTTTTAGCGAGGCAGATTTTACTGAGATGGGGTGTGTTGGTTTGTGCTCACGATTTTACAGCAAAAAAGCTTTGATGGAAGATTTCACATAGTCTTATTAACGTTTGTTGATGTATAACGATCCTATAAAATACAAGATTGTAAAATTACGTTAATTTATCATTTGTTCATGGAAGCTACCTTGATTTCCAGGTAGTGATAAGTGCTCCCGGCTTTACCCGAATCAAAGTATAGCGACAATTCATGAATCTCTATTCAAATAATCTTCAATAGCTGAAATTTTTGGTATACAAAATTGTGAAGATAAAATAGGGAGGAATCTTAAAACCTCATGCCTCTTTCATTTGTAATGGATAAAATTAAATAATTCTAATCTTCGAAAACTTATTTTTATGTCCAAGATTTGAGAAGGAGCATATTATTTCAATATCTCAAGCAGTTTACTTTAAGAGCAACGTTTCTCCACTTGAATTTTTGATTTTATTTGCCCTTTCCTTTAGTGGATATAATTGTTAAACTGCATCTGTCTATCAATTTTAGGAAAGAATGTTTAAAATAGACTTAGGTAGAAATTGTCTTTTTAAATCACTAAACTTTGCCCCACTGGATTTTAATTTTAAATTTCTAGATTTTTATTAGCTAAATACATTCTTGATGTATCTTAGGTCTTCGGAGATGGATCCACGAATTTCTGGCATCCGCCTGAAATAACAATAATAACTCTACTTATTCCGATGAGTATTTTGCCAATAAACATTTTATTTATTGGTCTGCTTATATTAAAATGTGACCTAATTAGGATGTACTAAGTATGGATCTCTTTTGGACCTATGTGGTTGGTTCACATTAGGCTAAAATATAAATTTGAACATATTTATGTAAGTATTTTCAAAATCTAAACAACGTAGGGGTTCAGACTCAATATAAGTGGTAGGCCGTAGCTCAAAATTCTCTTTTAAAGGACTGCTACTTTATTAAAGCCTGACTGACTCAGAAATCTCTGTCGCAGAATCTCCTACATCTAGCTAGACTCCCCAGACTAGCTAAGCTATAGCCCAGCTATAAAGGAAACAGACATGTAGCACAGAGCTCGTTTATTCAGGACGTATATTGCGGATCAAGTGTACACACATGGAGCTACTCATGATCAGGATGGGGGATTAGGTTAAACAGAGGTTAATGATTGGTCACTGTTTGTACGGCCGCACCTCCCGATCCTGGCGAGCAGACATGCAGGCATACGATGACGAACAACGCGATAACGTGTCCCACAGATTTATGCTCAGTAATCTCAATGGTAAGGCCTCCTAATTTGGAATGGTTCCCGAGATCAGCTACCCTGCATCAGGAGTACAGAGAAAAACAAGTTAATTCAGGCTGTGTATGTTGGGTCGTGTGACACTGACAAGTCATGAAATACAATTTCGGCTGCGTTGACCTTGCTGTGACTATTGATTGACTGATTGCCTGAGAGGTCTATGCATTTGTTGCCTCATTGGCTCCTTGGCGTGATGACTGGCATCACATCCACACGTTCCTGAATGTTTGAGCGCAAAGGTGTGTTCTTCGATTCAGCCTCACAATCCAAATAAAGAAAATTTCCTAAAACCCATGTTTTGCCGAATCCTACAGTTACAATTTCATTCATTTTCACAAAGCGGAAACTTAGACATACCGTCAAATTCAGAAAACGTCAAAACACGTAAATTATTATTGATATTTTCAAGTGAAATTACTTATTCTTTATGGCCGTTATGACTGTTTTCAGTTTATGAAGTCAAGCGATTTGAGCCAACTTTCTGAAAAACTATTTCTATCCTTTTAATGGGGTATGACGTCCTTCCTCGCTTCGAAGTAACAGAATACGTGAATATTTCACGATTTGCACTGAATCGGAAATTGGCACAAAGTTTTTGTGAAGTTACACTAATAGCTGATTTCTGTGGTTATCATATCTGTTTCTGCACATATTTTTTACTATGTACGTCTAGAAACATTCGTGTAAAAATTCTATTTTCATATTCACTAAGACTCATTCCCGCCCTCTTTGTATTAACTTAACCTTGATTATGTGTCAATCCGAATTTTGTGTAAGGCGATTTAAGTTATCAAAAGTTCGTTCTGTTAATAGCATGAATATGATTTCCTTTTTTCACCATTTAATTTGTTCACCAAGAATATCAATTGAAATGGCCAACCCAAGCAGGCATCGGGTTAATCCTTATTTCTTTGTTCCAAATTGTTGCCATAGTGCTTCCATTCCCACATGTCTTCACTTGATCCCCATTCAAGAGGAAAATGTGATAAAGTGCATTCCAACCCATTTTGATGCACTGTGATCGTGGGTGTGAAGGCATCTCACGCAACCAGCAATTAATCGCCACTGAAAAGAAGTGTGGTTCCAACTGTATATTAATGACCAGGCTTTGTGTCGGTGGTCCATGAGCTGTAGTAGACGCCGTTCGATACTGTTGGGGTAAATTAACAAATTTTGGGAAAGCTTTTACACTGGGGGGGGGGGATTTTGTCAGGTTTACTTGTGTAGTAACCGCTATGGCTGTCAACCACTCTCACAGAGGTAACGTTGAGAATTGCACGCTTAATTACTACTCACTTGCGAAAGAAACGTCTCCTTCAAACTACGAAAAGAGTTGAATCCTGGTTTGAACCAACTATTAAGTTATCTATTAAGAAATTTACACCTAATGCTAAAAGAGATAAATGAAATCATTCATTCACTGTGGCTTCCACTTTAATTTCAATACCTCGATTTTGGCGTCTGTCATCTTTCCCATTTCAGAGGTAGAAAAGTGGAGGTAATAACTTTTAGAATTCTATTTGTTCATGAAATTTAATATCATTGGTACATAGCACTCAAAATTTACACCGATTAAAGTCATTTACGCACTTTGCCATTCAATTCAACGAAGTCCATTGCAATTTTGGAAATAAGAAACCCAAATCCATTTGTCTTTAAGGGTTAAGACGAGTACCCTTTACTTAATACCATAATCCAAGTTTCAAATATTTAATTTTCAAGATTCATATTCTTAGTTCCTTATATCCAAAACCCATTCATCAGCTGATTATTTTTGTTTATCAGTCATACCAATTCAGTATACCTTTCGTCTAATGGGGTGAGTGATAGACTTACCTCCACGTGGCGCACACTGGGCAACGTATACTCATACGGCAAAAAAGTCTAACAACCGGCAGTTGACTTCAAGCTACCATGACCCCACTGTATCTCATATTCGACTACTTCACAGTACTCATCCCACCTTTTTTCCACCTTATCTACCTTCGTCCTTGATACACTCTTCTGTTCCCCCCCCCCCTATCGGTTTTTTTCAATTTGATGTTCCTTCCCCTCTGTGAAGACTGAAGTCAATTAAAGGGTTAATGATAACAATCAAAACGCCTGCCATTTGGTATAGCTTTTCGTCTAATAGATGTACTAGCTAATGCCATTTTAATCTACCGAGCCCCCATTCGCAAACTCTTAACGTTGTCATGACAAGGTTGGCATTTATCAACTAAACGATGGGACACGGGCAATAGAGATTCATTTGACAATCACACCAAAAAATTGAAAAACGAGTTTAAGGATTTGAAACAAAGTCACTGCACAATTTTCGAAGAATTTTACTTAATAACAGTCATCAACGACCCTCACGCCTTCAATCCGACGATTGCACCTGCCCTGGCAAGGGCTAAAAATTGCTTCAATTTTGTCTATTAAATGGTTGGCTCAGGCAGTACCGGTGCTGAGATTAGTGTCTTTCTATGTAGCCATCAGTACACATATGATAGATCATTGGATTAAGACCTTGAGAGTTTAGACGTGAAGTAGTGGTGAAAATTGGCTAACCCTCGTTCGTTAACTAGATTTTAACTATCACAGTGGCCTCTTTCAAAAAATGCGAAAGGAGCGTCACATCAACTTCACAGGAGTGTACACATTCAAAATTTATGACAGTTTAGGTAAATCTGGTCTGCATGACCCAATTCCAAGCACAAGAAAACATTTTAATTGCTCTACTATCAATTAATAAGTAGTCCAACATTAACGGGGAATTTAGGATGTGTTACTTGCAAACATTACATTTGAAAGATAACCAAATCCCACATAAAAAACTGTTATTTCAGTTAAAAATTTATTCTAGATAGTAAAAAAACCTGTGTACAAACATCCTACTTATCATGAGGTAGAGCATCCTTTAATTTTCCAAACAGCTTCGTACCCAATTCTTCATCCTAAACGACGTAAAAGTGAATCAAAATAATTCCAATAAAGTTAAAAAAACATATTAATCGTTACCTTTAGACTATAAGTAACCCGTAAAACGAAGTTTTTTCCATCACCTTCTTCTATGTCAACAGCGATGTCCTTGGAGATGGTTAAACCAGAGTCATCTATTTCAATATCGCCTTTCTGAACTAAACTATGGAGAAATTGACAGTGAGATTATTGCCTTACTCTTGGCAGACTACAGAAATCCTTTTGACAATAACTGGGATCGATTCCATTGAAGCAAAAGCATGAACAGAAGTAAAAAGCATAGCGTGATCATTTAAGCCAACACTCTGCAACGCATCTTCTCGCTTCAAGAGAACAGCCTCAGACTAAAGGTAACAATAAAATCTTAAATGCAGACAAACCCCATCCCCACTCATGATTATGCCTCCCCGAAAAATGTCAGGATTTAAGCCTTTCCGAGCTATTGAATTCTCCTCTAAATAGAAAGAAAGTTAAGACAGAGAATGCAATGCACAACATACCAACGAATTTCTTCACCATCTCAGCAGGAGCCAAAACTGTTAATTTTGGACGTGGAGTAATATAAACAATTTCGCCATTAGCCGGCATGGAGCAAGGTATTCCAGTCTCCTCTTCAATGCGTTTTCGCAAAAAATCCATCTTTCCGCTTTCACCGTGGACAAGAAGAACATGACCGGGACGACAAAAGGAGATAAGCTGCATGATACCTCGTGCATCGGCGTGAGCCGAGAACGAGAGATACTCTACGTGCAAATTTACTGGAATCCTGCCTTCATCACAATCAATGAATTCCGCTCCGTTGAGAACCTTGTAACCAACAGTACCGGAGATACAAAAACCAGGAAAAACAACCATGTTCTTGGGATCATGAGCCCACTTTCGAAATATGGCGAATGATTGGCCACCATGAAGCATGCCAGGGGTTGCAAAAACTACCATTGGCCCAGGTTTGTCAGGCACATTCTGTGAAAGAAGCTCTATATGTTTGTAATCAAAAGGATTGCGTTCCACGAAAATCTCCTTAATTCTCTGATTTGTCCAAGAGATAAAGAGCTTATACAGGTTAGTAGCTTTCTCAGCCATACCATGAGAAAAGTAAATTGGATAGGATAAGCTCATACGTTCCCAATAAGATTCCAGAAGGATACTAAGTTCCTGAACTCTGCCAAGAGCAAAAACTGGAATCAACACCTTTCCTCCACTATCCAAACATGAATGAATCTTCTCTAAAAACTCCCGTTCTCTTGCACGCTTGGAATCTCGAATGGTTGTGGCGTAGGTAGTCTCAGTAATCAATAAATCGGGACGAAGTCGGGGGCACCATGCTGCCCCCAAGTGCCTATCAGATGTCATATTGTAATCACCCTGGAACGAATTTAAGTTAGATTAAGGCACGTAGAACCCACCGTATAGAAGACTGACTTGTCGCCGATTTTAATATGAAACATGGCGGCTCCCAAAACGTGACCGGCATAATATGCCTGAATTTCAATAGTATCGTCAACTTGAACTGATTGGTGAAGATAAACACACGTAACTTTTTTCATGCAGCGATCTATCATTTCAGCACTGAAAAGAGCTTGCTCGGAACGTTTGTCCATAAGGCGTCGAAAATCATTAAGTAGAATGGGGCAAATAGCTTTAGTTGGATGTGTCATATATATCGGACCATTATATCCAACAACTTCGGTCATGTAAGGTAAAGCACCAACATGATCCAGATGAAAGTGACTGGTGGTGGGTAAATTAGTTTTACAATGCTTACCTAATGATCACACAACTGAGATATTCCGTTAAATCATTTTTATTCGAAATGAATGAAAAGTCAGGAAATCTACGCTAAAAAATAGTAAAATGTGAAACGACTTTCAAACCTCATCCGTATAACCCATGTGCATTCCACAATCTAGCATTATGTTTTTACCTTCGGCAGAAACCAAAATGCAACTCCTGCCTACATGCTGACCGGCACCTTAAATATTACCCACCTTAACATATCTTACCCAATGGTATTACTCTAATATCACCTGAAGGATTCATTTCTTTAACGAATGGCTGTTATTACTTTAATACGAACCACCCATCAAGTTCTGCAAATAGCGCCGACCAGTAGCATAAACTATTGCCAGATTATCCGACCTTGTACGCTGAATAATCTAAAATTCTGACAACCAATCATCTTATTTGTCCAAAAAATTACATCACCTTTCCCTTACTTTATTCTATTATTATATTGATGTATTTTTAATTTATAATCAAAATGAACTGTAATACTTAAGTAACTTTAAATAGAAATATAATATTTTTATTATTATCCTCAATGCCGCAAAACTTTTATAACATTTTTACCCATAGCATTGAACAATAGAACTGAAAAATAGCGGGGATTCACGAAAATACCGATAAAGACTTAAAGAGTACAAAGACATTATCTAAGTTGTATCCCTGCTTTTTTATTTGCTTTTCTATTCCATTCGATTCTTCGTTCTGTAGCTACTACGCTCCAGACAAATAGCTCCTCCCAAATATTTCGCATTATTCACTAAACTTGCCTTTACTCTAACCTTATGAACTTTTAAATTACGAAATATAGACGTGCCAAACATGCTTCTGGTTATTAGTATTTGGAAAATATGGAAATCTTAGAAGTGGTGAATGATCCCTCGGCAACCATGAGTAAATATTCAGGACCTTTTTATTTACTTTAAACATATTGAAGTCAAGTTTTGATACACTGAGTCAAGCATCATGACATGGTCATTTATTTATGGAACTTGAATACATAGCACCATCCGGACAGACGAATACATATATAAATGATTAAAATTTATGAAAATGGTGGGTGAAGTAAAATCAATGGGGTTCAATGTTTCACCTAATCTTTACCCACGTCTGAAGAAACTTTCATAAATGATCCTTAGATGATACTCAATTAGATATGTGGCATTTTAACTATCCTGACTTTTAAAGTTTTGCACATTAAGTCTTTATGGAAGCTTGTAAACCCATCCCTTTGTCAATATTGCATAAACGCTATCTTTCTCTATGTGAATTTCTATTTAGTTTTCAGCCTAACGGCAGAATAATTGACGTCTTTTTCCACAATTTTGAACGGTTTCATTAATGACAAACAAACCAATCCAAAGACGTATTGATCCTTTTGATATCTATTAAATTCATCTAATTTATTTACTATCACCTGCACATTTTCTACATGTCATGCAGATAAAAAACATGTCTGTCGAACTGAAGAAAATGTGTAGCACTTATAAGAGTTCGATGAAAAGAATGGATTATCATTGTTAGAACCACCTGCTCATATCTAAAATTATAAGCAAATATGCACCAGCATCTTGATTTCTTGAATTTTAGCGACTGCATTAATGAAGGCAAACTGATGCCACATGGCTACATGCTCTTTATATCCTCCTTTATGTATTTTTAGAAGTGCAACTGGACATTTAAGGCAGGAAGAATAGTGATCGTTTTGACGGTTGAACGAATTTCACCTGTTAATTATTCAAAAAACGATGTAAAAACTACTTAAATAGAGTACATGTTGTGATATGGGCCCTACCCTTTGATCTTTGGCATTAGGGAAAGTAAATGAATCATAAGCAGCTAAGATATTAAGATGACCACCCAGTTTTACGTATCTCAAAGGTAGAAAAGAATTTGAAGTGACAGGAATTCAGGGGATTGAAGGAAGATAAAGGTATAGTTACACTAAGAAATTTTGTTAATCAAATGGTCTATTTATTGCATAGGGAAGATAGAATGCAATGCCAAAATAGTGAACAAAATTGTAGTATATCGCGATTCTTAGCTACTCACCGATCTACAAAACGCTCGGGTTAGCCAGCAGATAGATAACATATCACCTATTGCCTGGTATGCTGTATTTCTTAATTTGTTTCTGATTATCCCGTAGCAACAGGCTTGTAGCCTTTCCAAAGTAGTATGTTTTTTAAAGTGCCTGTATTTTAAGTGTTAATGCATCGATAGACTGATAAAAAGTTGTAGTTGCGACTGGCTATCAATATGTTACCCTCAGAGTGAGTCTGCGTAATGGGAGGATGAACTGTATTTGCCAGCGTTCTGTAAAGAGCAAATGAAATGGGCATTTGTTGTTTGTTAAGTCACGTAAGTGCCTTTTAATTTTTGATTTTAGGCCTTGCTACTTCTTCAAATGTAGGAGTCACTGGGAAACTTATTAGACCTGCTGATATGAAAGAATGTTTGGTGGACAAATTTCAGGTTTGAACCCTTAATGGCTGAAGTACTTTGAGTGTTGGTGTATGGTTTTCCCTCAAGTTACTCAGTTTGAGGTGGTATAAACTCATGAATATTCATTAAAAATAAAATCCAATATGAAGATCAATGAACGGATCTAAATAATTAAAATAGGAAGTAAAAGTCGGTTGAAAAACTCCACTTTCATATCGATCTCACAACTATGTTATTATAATACACTGTGTGCTCACGTTTGAGCAGACTTATATTAGGAAGATGGCCAGATACATATTCTTTACAAATTCTTATTTCATTTCAATCTAATTCTAAGTATATCAAATAAAGGCATGAATAACCCTTGAAAGCAATAACAATGTGCCGTTTATGAAGGGCAGGAACACTAATGCCCTAAAGTTGCTTAAGCTTCAATTCAGCACACCTGGACAGACTTCATAGGCTTCCTCTCTAGTTGAGGTGTTTCATCACCTGACAGACGTAAAATATTTTTTGCTTTAAGGCATTTCTTTTCTTCTACGCCTATCAACTCGATCGATACCCCATTTAATTATACTTAATTCCACCCGAGAAGTCATTTATAAGACACTTAAACCAATATAAAAATTTAGTACGCAAAATCAACAATAGGTCACAAAAGTGGTCTAAGAAGGTCCGATAATGTTGATAATTTCATCTTCTATTTCTTCATTGTATTCACTTAGAGTTTTTGACTGACTATAAATCTGGCCTTCTATCGTTTGAGCGCGAAGTATGTTATTCTTTAGCCTCTCATCTTCCATGTCCGTGTAGTCCGGATTAGTGTAAAACCGCTCAACACTAAAAGAAATATTAATACCTATCAGAAATCAATTACATTTTCTTTATCATTTTCGTTCTACCAGTCGTCGTTATTGTCATGTATATATTCGGATTTGGATTCATTGATTTATCTGGCAATAAGCGCCCTTTAAGGGCGACATACATTTCACAACATATTTCACAATCAAATCTTTTACAACCATCCCAATGACCTTTCGTTTCTTTTGCGATTTTACAGTGGTCTTCAATACAGTTTTCATTATCACACTCTATTATGTGTCGAACAATCGGGCGGAGTTGAATGCACCTTGGTTCGTTACATACTCTTGGGGGTAAACAATTTTTCACACACCAAAGAGAGTGCAGAAGCCATCGAAGAAACTGACGCTTGATGCTTGGTCTTGACGCAACATCGGCCATTGATCCCTGAGCTGGAATTATTAGTGGAAATCCAAGGTTTGAACTAAAAGTAGGAAATATCAGTTAAGAAATTGCTCAAACAGATCAGACAAATAAAGATCTATAAACTTATCATTTAATTAGCCATTGTTATATTCGCAATAAAAACAACTTTTGATAAATATTAAATCGATAACCAAAAAACGCTTAAATTGGACTTAACTAGTTCGTGTTCGACATAGAGCTCATCCAATAAGAGAAATCAACTGTGTGGTAAGTGCTATTCAGTTATACATTTATATATATATGTAAATATATGTACAATAAAGTTAAATACTACTTAGAATTTTAAATCAAATGTTTCTGAACATGGTTTAAGAGAATTTGATGTTCGTTTATTTGTTGATTTGTATCATGTCTAGGGGTATGCTATTTGATCACTGCGTTAATAAATACAGATAGTCTGATTTTAATTTTCAATAGTTGTTCCAAGAATGAGCATAGAAATGGATTTCGTTCGTTATTCTAGTAAATGTATTTGAAAATCAAGAAATCTGTAATTTGAACATAAGTCAATGGTTAAATAAACAAAATCTGACGCCTTTATAAACAAAACAGAATTAGTTGAGTTTTTTATGGATCAAGAAGTGCAAATTATCTCTATGGGTATGGAGTGATTGATAAATTATCACAACAAGGTGAAGACATTGAAGATCGTAAGGTTAGGGCACACAGGCTCAGCTACTAAACAGATTCAATATTTTGTATCCGATTTAACGTGATTAAATTCAGACCGCTGAATCGGTGGTCATGACTAATACATCTAGTCTCATGATGAACTGCACCCTAAGCTCAGACTGACTTATTGGAGTAAAGTATCTAGGAAATATAGGAAAGAACTGTTATTAAGTAGATCATAAAATATGGCTGTAGAAGGATATAAAATACATGGCCACGAGAGGTTACAAGGCAAATTGAATTCCGTTAGAGTTAGTTCCAATAAAGGGCTGCTTTATATTTATGTCATCAATTTATTGAAACCGGAATAAAATCGGAAAGCACAGGTAGGTCGATATCCTCAAATCCACAGATAATCAAGCGATAGGAGGTCACCTTTATCCTAAAGATGGATAAAGTCATAAGAAGCTTTCCCATGAAGAAATTAAGGGCAATTTGGGATAAGCTTCATCAAACTTTGAGCTGATGCTTTTGATATTCAGATGAAGTAAGTCTTCGTGATTTCATTACTTCATCGTCACCTTTACTACATATTTTAGAAACTTCACAAAAGTCAAAATTAGTGAAGAAGAGTGTACTGATTACCTTCAGTAGCAAATACATTTTAAATTAAAAAGAAATCAAAGAACAGCATGGGAAATAATAGCCATGATATTGCCAAATCGGTCACCGAAACACCTTTAATTAAAGGAATCGAAAGGCTACCGTTAGGGTTCTAAAGGCCAAGATTTAAAATCGTGATAATGATAACTGTGATAGCGTTGAGTTTCATTTTATTCGATAATAGCAAACTAGTATTTTACGAGACAATGAGTTATTAGATCCGAAAAAAATATGTTTCAATTTAATTGCTTGCAAATTTGACTATGCCTTTCTTTATCCGTCAAGTTTCCAAAATAACTTAAAAGGAGAAATATAGTCAAACCATATGTTCAGCTGTCCTAGATACACGTGATATGTTTATTTTCAGTATCAATAAATTAGTGTTTGTAGCATTCACTCTGTTAAAAAGCTTTAAACATATCTTTTTCGAAGTTTTAATCTTTCGTGAAACGGAAGTCGGGCAAAAAAAGTAAACCAATCGAAAAATCGGCATGAGATTACTACGTCAAGTGAATATACAGCATTAAGAAATTGGGAAATTAAAGACTTGGGAAAGAGGCAGATTAGATCCTATGAACATGAGTGGAATGAGCCAAACAATATCAACCATTGATTATTGATTAGTTGAAGGTCACCATACGATGCATTTGTGTGTGTAGGAATGGTAGATTTTAAGGGCTGTTTACGTTAGCTACGAACAAGCGTCTGTTTAGATTAGCCGAACCTCAAAAAATTATACCATGCTGCTGTAGCACGCACTTTCACTCCTTTTCCAGAATAGGAAAGGCAACCAAATTTGTATTTAAATTCACCTTAAAATCAGAGATTCGATATGGATTAAATATTCTACTCTTAGCTGACAATGATAGCAACATGAGATAGTGCCCCATGTATAGAGGAGAGAGGCAAGGAAGCTAACTCTACGTAGAAGTATTTAGATCAAATGACAGGCCCAAAATTAGATCACCAAAACGTTCAAATGGATTCACAAATTAATGAAAACGTCTCAGAATTCTTTGCTCTAATCGTATTTGCAAAAATGGGTGTGTGATAGACTTACCTCCACGTGGTGCACACTGGGCAACGTATACTCATACGGCAAAAAAGTCTTTTACCTGGCAGTTGACTTCAAACTACCATGACCCACTGTATGTCATATTCGACTACTTTCACAGTACTCATCCCACCTTTTTTCCACCTTATCTACCTTCGTCTTTGATACACTCTTCTGTCCCCCCCCCTCTTGAATTTTTTACACTTTGATGTTCCTTCCCCTCTGTGAAGACTGAAGTCAACTAAAGGGCTAATGATAACAATCAAAACGCCTGCCATTTGATATAATAATAATAATAAATATTTGCAAAAAAGACCATTAATATATGGAATACTTCAAGTGGACTTTATCGATTTTGACCTTCAGGTAACACTGATATATTATAAGTAGCAAACATTTAATTTAACACTTCAATTAATCTCAATCACTACATATTCAATTTGAACCCAGCTACCTAAAGAGGCAATTTAATTCTATTGTGTTGTGTTAGACTAACTATAAAATAGGACTCAACATACTTTCAAGCCACAAGCGCTGTACATACGTTGTGGAAGAAAAGATGGGTATCTGCATTTTGCCTTATCGAGCAATAGATTACCATTTCGTCACTCAACACCCTTGGCAATGCTTGACATTTGCCAAGAATTTCCATAAAATCATCTCTGATGATACTGGAAACGGGGTGTACGATAGGCTTACCTCCACGTGATGCGCCCTGGGCAATGTATACTCATACGGCAAAAAGTCTACAAACCGGCAGTTGACTTCTCACTTCAAACTACCATGATTGCACTGCATGTCAAATTCCACCACTTCAACAGTACTCACTTCACCTTTTTTCTACCCTTGTGTCTGTCTCTTTTACATCTGTTCCCCCCTTTTCACATTTTGAGACTTTGTCTGTTCCTCCCCTCTGTGAAGTCCGAAGTCAGCTAAAGGGCTAATGATAACTATCAAAACGTCTATAATTTGTCATAAATAAATGACACTGACAACACTACAAATAATTTAATTTTTTTGGATGCTATTAAAGTGGCCAGCTTTACAGACTGCTGTGCAGTAAGACTTAACTTCATAATGTCAAAGTTAGACATTCATGTGTGACCTTTGTCTTGAAATTCGTCATATTGAATTTAATCAGAAATTCAGGAAGTAATGCGAAGATATTTGGTCCTTGTTACCGCTGAGAGAAATATTATATAACTTCTTCTCTTTTGAGCTTTATTACACAAATTCAGGCATCAGTAATTATGCGAACTGCTTTAAAGCGGAAGTATTCAATTAAGATTTAGTTATTTTGACCCTGAAATAAGGTCCTGATAAGCGTTAAATATTTATTAAACAATTACACTCTTAGTCCACGAACTTTTATTAATTTCCTTTAATTTGAAGGTTCCCTCAAGCGTACAAGTGAGATTTTAGAATTTGTGAAAAAACAAAGCCCGGGAGCCCGCACTACTCAGTTCCATGCCGTTTTCTCCAGTCTGGTCCGCTTATTCGTCGTAAATCTCACTTTCCACCATCATCATCCCTCCACTCCCCCCCCCCCCCCCCCCCCCCCCCCCCCCG